AATCAAAGTCAGCACTGCACTCAGTGTACACTTTATTCGGGTGTTTTCACTGTAAACCAAGCACTGATAATGCGTTTACCAGTCCCACTTTGAATGAACCAAACTTTCCAGCTGCTTCCATCAGCCGAAATAAAGAGATGGTATAAAAGACGCAGAAAATACGAGTCATAACTAGAAAAACAGAAACGATCTTGAGATTTAAAGGTGGATTTCATTAAACGACTTTATTTTTAACGCTACCAAAATGACTGACTTTGATATTTGGGGGGCTAAGGTGGGAGTTGGAGCTGCTGTTTGATGATTCAACCAGCAGCTGACCAGTTATAAACCCATTATAAACCCAGAATAAAACCAGTTAAACCTAGTATGAAACCTGTATAAACAGTTATAAATCCTTATAAAACCAATTAGACCAGTATAAAACCAGTTATAAACCCATTATAAACCCAGAATAAAACCAGTTATAAACCAGTATAAAAGATGTTTGTTCACTTTTTTACTTTATTTTTTTCAGTTATCAACCTCTTTTATTTCATCTTTTATTTAATTGAGCTTCTTTTTGTTATTGTTTTGTCATATTTGTGATTTATTGATCTTTTCCACTGTTGTTTAACGTTTTAGCTGCTTTGTTAGAAGAAGTTCCCAGCTCCTGGGATAAATAAAGAATATTTCATCTTATTAAATAACCTGATAACTACAGAGCCACTGTCTCATTCAAATCCCTTAAAAAGATTAATTAAGTTTAAGTTCTCTGCGTGTGCAATGTTTGGTCTGAAAGATGCAGCATTCAATCACAGTCATGTGACTTTAAAACCTTTAAAGTTTTAAATTCCTCACAGTTTTAAAATCAGCACAAAACGCAGACAGGAGTGGATCCTGTGTTTTGTGTTTCTCGGTCTCCTGATTCACTTAAAGACCTTTTTTTTGTGTTTGTGGTGTTTTTTAAAATTCTCTCAGATCACGCCTCGCCCGCTGGAGTCAGCGCCAAGCCGCCGAAGGCGTCAAACCTCAGACGATGTGCACGTGTCGCGGTGCTGGAGGTGACAGCGGAGGCGAGTCCTGCAAACACAGAGGTGAGATTTCCCACCCTGTCAGCTCTGAGCAGACCCGATCGCGGTCAAATAACGATGTGATGTTAATGTGTAACACGAGGAGGGGCTTCCTTTTTAATTTTCAGAAGCGTTTTTGCCTCGTAGCGTCGTTTTTTAATCAAATTAGAATTAAAATCTTAGCAGTAAGCTCAGTGAAGCTTTCTGTTTCCCTCTGAATGATTTGAAAACAAACGGCTGAACTAAATGACGTCAGCTCCACGTTTGATCAGCTGCACTAAAGTTTTCCTCTAAAATAAATCATCCAAAAAAGAATGAAAAGGTCTAAAGTGTAATAAAGTTTGCACAGGTTTTGATAAAAAGATGAAAATGGAGTCAGTTTGGATATTTAGAGAAAAACCTTTTTTCATGAATGTGAAAAGTCGCTAAAAAGCTTTCAGCGTAATCAGGCCACACTTAGCAGGTCTCCCTGAATCAGAGGAAGCAGACCGAGGAAACAAAGTGTCCCTGAGACATCAAAGACAAAACAGCAGGAAGAACATCTCCGGACAAAAGGCCGGTTTTCTGCACAGCATTGACTTTTTTCCTCTAAACAGCAGAAGATGTGTCCCTGTCACAAACATTTACTACAGCTCTGCTTTCTCTAACTGTCAGGACGGTTCGACAGCAGCTGCAGAGGAGACAAGCGAACAGGATGTTGTTCTGATAAAACAGGAAACACCAAAAGAGGAAGCTGAATCTGACCTCGCCACAACAGACGAGCTGCTCATCAGTGAGGACGGTGAGCAAACCAGCAAAATGTATTTGATTCCAGGTGGAGGCTCAGAGACACTGTGTGGATGTTAAGTGTGTCTATTGATTTAGTTTAATTGCATTATTATTTAAGAG